TTTCGTGTTGTGAATTTCATTTTCGTGTTGCGAATTTAAGTTTCAAAAACTACTCTTCTTCTGCAAATTGAAACTTGAATGAATTGCATTACTTCAACCAAAAGACAAATACTAACTTCACAGGGTTAAAGACTAAACAGTTTAGCAGTATTGGCAACAACCGAATGAATTTACTAAGCAATCTAAGTGAAATGGTTAATCTATATTGTTGATTTAATCGTCGATGGAATCGGCCAAGAGAGGGTGAATTGGCAATTAAAATTTTGGTGGAAGCTTTTGCAGAAAATTGAAAGTAATTGCACAACGATTTAGAGTGGTTCGACTTTCTCAACCAAAGTCTACGTCCACTACCTTAGCTATCCACACTAAGGATTTTCCAACAAATTCACTAATTTGTTCTTTCTTTTGAGGCCAAAGAGATAACCTTACAACTCCCTCAAGAATATACCCCAATTCTTGAGAACACTCTTTCTCAAAGATAATATTACAAATTTGCAAACTTAATGAAAAACCTCACAAGGTAAATGTGTTTGCACAATTCTAGAAAAAGAAAAGAACACTCAAGAATGAATACAATTGAGTACAAGTAGTGTTCTTGAAAGCAAAATGAATATTGAATGAAAAATAGGCTTGAAATTCTCAAATTTGAGATTTGATGCTTTCTCTTTGATTCTCTCTTAATTCTTGATTCTTGTTGTTGATCTATGGCTTCTAAGCTTGTTTAAATACTCCTTGAATAAGTTCTGAACGTTATGGATCATTAATGAAGCAATTAGAGCCATTTAAGTGTGAAAACAATTAATAAAATTAGTGGGAGCGTCTGGTGCATCGATGCATAGGGTTGGTGCATCGGTACACTATGTGTAAAATTCAAATATTTTGACCGTTGGATCCTTAGTGTATCGGTACACTGATAGTGCATCGATGCATAAATATGCTCGATGTTTTGAAAAAGCCTGGGTGCATCGATGCATGGCTTGTGCATCGGTGTATAAAATCAATTCTATGTTTAATTAAAACAAGGGTGCATCGATGCATTGATTCATGCATTGGTACATTTACCTGAAAAATTGATTTTAGGCTCCTTTTTTGTTCAAATACTTTGTGAAAATTGTTTCAAAAATATTTTAAGATTAAAACACAATTTTACACTTTAGTAAGGATTGAAATTGATCTTTGAAAGACTTGGAGTAATATTTTGATATTCGAGTAATTAAATCGAATATACTTAGAAAATCATTTGTAAAATCTTAAAATTCATTTATACTTAATTTGTTATATAGAAACATCAAAATGTTTTCAAAAATCTCCCCTTTTTATATAACAAAACATTTGAGTAATTTTAAGATTTTCTTTTAACATAATTTTTGTAAATAATTTTGAAAAATTTAATTTACTTCCCCTTACTATATTCTCCCCCTTTTTGTTAAATCAAAAAGACTCTAAAACGTTTTTAAACAAGATTTTTAAAAAAATAAGCCAATTGTTCTTTACAAAATTAAAGCTTAAGCTGCTAAGATCAGAAACAAAGGATAGATTAACCTTTAGTTTTCATATACAATATTCATAAACATGTAATGGATAATTGGTCATATATGTCTAATGATGCAAAAATAAGTATTAATATCAAAAAGAAAATTCAAACCAAACATATATATATTAAGATCTAATATCCAAAGCAACCAAAATATAAATTCAAACATCCAACAATCAAAGTAAAACAATCCAAAAGCATTCAAAAAAGTTTTAACAAGTAAAGTTCTTAGTTGATCCAAAAAAAACAAAGCAAGGTCTACTCGTCCATAGAAGGATCGGGAGAGAAGGAAATCGTGCTTGCATCTCAAGAGTAAGAGCATCCATACATGCAAGCATCTCCCTTTGAAACTCCATTTGTTGAGCTTCCAAAGTGTCTAAGCAATGATTCAACGCTTCGTTGTTTGCAGTTAAATGGATTCGATGGAAGCAAACCGTAGATCAAATGTCTCCAAAAACAAACGGAAATATAGAGGCACTTGATCCTCTTGTTGTGCCGGTGCATTGTCGGGATCGTCAATATCTTGAAATAGCCCTTGAAGCTCGGGATCATCGTCTGCAGCCAGTGCCAGTGGAGGTGGAGTACGAGAGGAGTAGGAGTAAGAGGTGCTCGTGAAGAACTCACTCCCGGAGTTTGCTTAGAGGGTCGATAAACCCATTGACCAATTTTCTCATCCTATTTCCAATCAACTTTCTTCAAGGAGGTGAGATTGATTTGGTTTTGAAGATGAATGGGATTGTCAAGAGAGACATTAAGACCGAGTTTGATAAAAAGATTACTAAGTAGACACCCATAAACTAAAGTTTCAGCATGTTTAGAAGGGACAACATTTATGGTATTTACTAGTTCACTAAAAATGATTTATGGCAAATTGATTTTCCTGTTATGTTGGATACAATGTATCCACCATAAATCCCTAATACGAAGAGTGAGTACCTACCTCCGGATGGTCTAAACCACCAAGAGATCATCAAATGGAGAAATCGATCGTGATGAGATCGTAGAGTACTAACACTAGCATTAGGAATATAGGGATATGCCACAGTTTCTTTCTCATTATATAAACCATTGTCATCTAGCCCAAATTGCTTAGCGATAGACCAGAGTCAATATGAATATATTGTCCTAAAAGGTAGGATCTAATTCCTATAGTCCCATATTGAGTCTGGTTTTGAATACATACCGCATTATAGTAGAAAATGCAGACTAACTGGTGATAGAAGATTGATTTTAGGTGAAACAATTTATCAAACTTCTAGGATTTGAGAGTTGGAAGGTATTCGAAGTTGATATCTATCATGGCTTGAACAAAGGAATACGTTCTTCCTGCATTTTATAAGATTGGAAAGAATTCATGTGCCTATGGTAGAGTTATTCTCTATGACGTTCAGGCATATTAAAACAGAACTTATAATGGTCATATTGGGATTGTTTGGATTTGAAGGTTGAGGAGGAATGGGAGGTCGATTTGAACGACTCGATGAAGAGAACCTAGGTCGTTTTGGATTAGACATGGTTTAAGGAATGTAATATAATCAATCCCAAAACTCAATTGAGTCTACAATAATTCAAGGTTCTCTAAACCGAGTTCTAATGGGCAAAGTTTTTGAAAAAGTAGTTAGAAAACAATGTTTGAAAATTATAAAATGTATAGTTTTTCATGAAAGCAACATAATTGAATCAAAAACATCAAATTTAAAATTAAATTAGGATTTTTAATTTTTTTTATTTCGAAAATACAAAAGCTCATTGAAAATTTGTGAGAATTTGATGAAATTAGTTGTAAAAACTAGTTTAGAAACATCATATAAGCAATGTCCGATATTTTTTCAACCTAGAACTAATCTAAACTAGTTCTAAAATCAAAATTTAATAAAATAGGAGTTTTTAGAAAATACCTTGAAAAATCTCGGATTTATGAGAATGAGAAGTTGTTTTGCACGAATTAATGATAGTAGCAGGTTTGGGAGTTGAAATGTGAATGAAATCTGACTAATTTTCGTTGATTTGAAACAAAAGAGAGATTTAGGGCAGAGAGGAGGCGAACGGCGGCAATGGAGTGTTTTAAGGGTTTTGAGAAAAATAAGAAGAAAAGGATTTTTATTCAAAAACCCGACGGATGCATCGATGCATGACCTTGTGCATCGATGCACATTTAAGGCATGCATCGGTGCATCTTCATGATGTATCGATGCACATTCAAAGGGATGCATCGATGCACTATTCGGTATATCGATGCATTATGTACAAAAATGTCAAAAATCCGTTTTAAACACTCAATATGTTAAATTAATTAGCTCTAGTGGTATTGACAACTCATATATTGAGAATAATCATGTTCAATCAATCAAATTTATCCTTAAACATTATTTGAACATATAATTAACTTTCACTAAGAATCATAAACTCCCCCTAACTAAAAACAAAGAATGCAATAAAAAAATATTATTATTATAAGCATTTTTCATTTATTCTTAAAAGTGCTAAACTAATTTAAACACTAAGTGAAGATAGGTCAGTTAAACCTAATTCTCTTCTAAGTGTCCAAAATCTTTCTTTGTCTAAAGGTTTTGTAAAGATATCGCTAATTGGTGCAAAGTATCAACAAATTCTAGAATTATATCTTCCTTAGCGACATGGTCTCTAATGAAGTGATGTCTAATTTCAATGTGCTTAGTTCTAGAGTGTTGGATGGGATTTTTAGTGAGACAAATAGCACTAGTGTTGTCACACTTGATAGGAATTACACCTACTTCAATTCCATAATCAAAAAGTTGTTGTTTCATCCATAAAACTTGTGCACAACAACTACCGGCCGCTGAAATGTATTCCGCTTCAGTGGTAGATAATGCACCACAATTTTGTTTCTTTGAAAACCAAGAAATCAACATATTTCCAAGGAATTGGCAAGTACCCGAGGTGCTTTTCCTATCTATTTTGCATCCTCCATAATCCGCATCAGAGAAGGCATGTAAGCTAAAACTAGAGTCTCTAGATACCAAAGTCCTAAACTAGGAGTGTCCTTAAGGTATCTAAAGATCCTCTTAACGGCTAATAAATGTGATTCTTTAGGACATGATTGAAATCTAGCACATAAGAAACACTAAACATAATGTCTGGTCTACTTGCGGTTAAATAAAACAAAGAGCCAATCATTGACCTATATAATTTAACATCCACACATTTACCTCTTTCATCTATGTCAAGCTTTGTTGATGAACTCATTGGAGTGTCATGAGGTTTCCATTTTCCAGTCCAAACTTCTTGAGCATATCTTTGACGTACTTCGTGTTGCGAATTTGAAAACTGAGTTGCGAATTTGGAAAATGTATTGCGAAATTGGAGTTTGTGTTAAGAATTTGTTGGTTATTTTCGCAAATCCAAAAAAAGTTGGTTAAAATCGTATATTATAAGGCATTTTCGGTCACTGAAGTTATTTTCTTCTTTGTTGAATGGTGTTCAACAGTTATCCAACAGACCAGGAGGAGCTAATGTTGACAACACAAATAGACCTAACAAAGAACCAAGAATGATTCCTTATAATAATATTTAACTTATCCCTGAATTATCTATTTGCATGAATTCAGTTGGAGTTTATTTTGTGTCAAATTCTGGGTTTGATCATTGTGAATTCAGGTGTAACACTGGTTTATAAATGCTCGAGTTCGACTATGGAAGTCTATGATAGAAGAAATGTACGAAGAGGTCTTTGCAAAGTCTCCATAAGACTCGTCCATCATTAGCTTGCATCTCCATGGAAAGGGAAGGTGTTACATATCAAACTGAGGATTGAAGCCGTGGGAAATTACATATCAAACTTATCAGGTTCAGTTTTCTTTTCGGATTTTTATTTGAAACTAATTAGACTCGAATAAGTTTCTGAAGCTTAACACAATTTTTTTCTTCAAATTCGAAGAAAATGTGTTGCACGAGATACGCATTTCTTTTGATTATTTAAGAGATATTCAATTTTATCGAGTGGAGTGTCATTCAGGAATTTAAATTATGGTTGTGGCCGCCTTTTTATTGTGTTGTGTTTATCATGGTTATAGATATAACGAATGTTATTATAATAATTGTGGATATCAATAATGAATTTTTTCTAAATGAGTTGATTTTTTATAATAAAAAAAGAAACTGATTTTTTTCAAAAAAATAAAATAATGGAATAGTGGTTTGTTATTACCACGATTGTCGTTATCTGTTAAATTACAACCGCAATCTAATGTTATTGATGTAACTATGCTTTCACACAATTATTTTCTGCGATAGCAGTATCGGCCGTCGCTGCGACCGCGATACCGCTATTTGAATTTGCAAAAGTGTGTATGATAAGATACACTTTTATCGTATATAAAACACTCTTTCAATAAAAGTATATTATTTTCATAAATAATTGAAAATAAATATAATTTCTCTAAATAATTTAGAAAATGATGCTATCCATATAAAAAAAAAGCAAAACAAAACATGGGAGTAGCCCGAAACAAAGATTTTGCATATATAGTACTAATCTGTAGTCTATATCATCTGAAAACTGCATCTTTTTACAGATCTAGTTCTTCATTATTTGTAGGGTAAAAACAGCAAATTTCCAATCCACGCAGGGCGGAACAGGAACCCGCTAAGCTAACAAGTTTCCGACAAGATCCAGAAGGCAAATCTGTTGGGGATGTCGAGATTTTATCATCAAATCACGAGAACAATAACATCACATGTGCCCCTTAGGCCCCTCCCCTCCGTCAAAACAAAAATTCCCTCTAATCTTTGATATATGGCCTTTGTATGTACATGAAGAACCAGAGTATTGCTAAGTCAGTAAGCTAAATAATGTCTGTTTCTAAGCTTTGTTTTGTCGTCGTACGTCAGTGGTGGTCATCACCACGAAACCGTATTCGAAGAGGTGAGGAAAGTGGGCGTGAAAATTTGTTGGCCCGATGCCAAAATGTGCCTCGGGTCGTATTTCATTTTCATTTTATGGAACCTATCCCACTTACTGCCCAAGTGCTCTCTCCACTCCTCTTGTGTAGCGTAATGAGGTAAATACTGCTTCGCCTTGATCCCATCATCGTCACAGAATCTCAAAATCTGATGGTTCTGATTGCTCAGGTACTCCAAACTCTGGCTCTCCTCACCGTTATCCAAGGCCGATCTTAGAAACGCCACCAGGTAAAACACTTCCTCATCCGGAGTCACAGCAGAGCTCCGATCGTTCCATCTGCAAACCATATCACATAACAACATATCAGCTAACATTCACAGTAATTACAGTATAAATTATCAATTTAGAATTTTTCTTAAGATTGTGAAACTATTTTGTAACGCGACATGGATAGTTGCCATCAATGGGACCTAAGCAGAAGATCTCCTGACAAGCAGAATCTTCCCACTTGGATAATATTACCGTAGACTTGTTGGGTTGTAAAAAGCAGTCAACAAGAGAGCTAAAAGTGGTTATCAATCCGAGCAGGCCGCTAAAAGAGATGGACAAATATCATTGGTTGGAATCGTGAATGACATGGTGAGCCGAGTGTTGCCCCCACGTTGTTTTCTGTTTTTGATGCACTGCTACGTGTCATCATCTTGTGCCAGGACACCATGGATCCATTTACTTACAGCACTACTTGATAATTTTTTTCACCACCTGTCTCTCTCCATCTTCCTATTCCACTTATTGTACACAAAAGACACCAATGGTAAAATTGGCTCCTTAACATCGACAATCTTTTTGTCTTCAACACAATCTGTTTTGTTTTTTTTTTCTTCCCCTACGCAGGGAAACTCCGAGAGTAGTGTATTGCCGACACTTTAACATTCTTTTTAACATCGTTGTTTTAAACATATATGTAGGACTTTGTATATACATGGAACACATCAATAAACAATAGCATGCATACATGATGTAGAACAATTCATTGCCAGCATGCATCACATGTAAAAATCATGTTAGAAATACAAAAGGGTGAGACCAACATGTCTGATGATGGGCATGCCGCATATGGATGTTAAATATATGCGTATTTAATGCATGGCAATGGTTTTGGGGGAGTAAAGACGACATAAGCAAAATGATCGTAACAATGAAGAAATGAATTGTGGGAGGCTAAAGCTTACTTGTTTTTGTTCATTGGGTAGATGAGAATAGGCCCACTGGTCCTTTTATTCCCCAAAATGCCCTTGAAGACCCCTCTATTGAAATCGTCAATCTTTGATTTTGGGACAAAAAGGTTCAGCCATGGGTGTGGAACCTCCCACAAACCCTTGGACCGGAGCTTCAACTCGGACTTGTGAACCCGGTCCAAGAAATCCACATACGGCAAATCGGTTGTGAACACTGATGTGGGTATAAAATTTAGTTTCTTCAACAAAGCCTCTACCTCCTGCATTTTAAAATTTAAATCAAATTGCTGTCAGTTTATTAGAATATACGCAACAAAAGGAATACATAAATAGTTAAATAAAAAATGCTACTACTACCAAACCAATCAGATGCTTTTGTCAGTATAAGTTCGATTCTAATAAATTCTTTTAATCAACTCCGGGAATAGAGATTAATTAAATGGGAATAATTTGGTGAGTGGACCATGATTTTGTTTTTTTTCCCTAATTAAGAAAATAAATATAATATAAAATACAATTAATAAAATGATGGTGGAAGGTGATATATACCTGATCAACAGAACCAGCAGTAGATTCATAATAGTTCTTGGTGACTTCCAAGCAATACAAAACGCCACCGTTGTTAGATCCAAGGGAGGAGATTTTGACAGGGTTCCGAGGGGAGAAGAACGAAGACCTCCAGTTGTTGATGAGGCCCTCGTCTACAATGACGAAACCTTCAACGTAGTCGAACTTTTGGCTGCCATTCAATGATATCAGATATTCTTGATCCCTTGTAAATGCAGAAAAATTGGAATACAATACCCTTATCCACCTCATCTACAGTTGCCATTGAAAACTCAAGTTAGAGGCAGAAGAAAAAAATTAGTACTAGAAATTATGAAACATGACATACTATAGGTTTTTACGACGTGTGTTTGGAAAGCTACAAAGCATGTTCTTTTATTTTTCTCTCGTCTCATCTAGGACTGGTACTACTACTTCCATGATCCCATTTTTTAAACCAGTGAATGTTCATAAGAAAGAGACTAATTAGACTGGGAAAATATTTACCCTTTGCGGAGCTGGTTCGAGAGAGATTCTAGCTCGTATGATAATTCCAAACTGTCCTAAACCGCCAAGAACAGCATGAAACAGCTCTGAGTTTTGTTCTTCTGAGCATGTCATCAGCTCACCTTTCCCTGTTTACCACAAGTACATATGGGTCAAATACAGTTCAAATAATAACTTATTAAAATAGTAACCCTCTCCACCTAACGCAGCAAAACTATCTGAACAGTCAACAATATTATTTGATGACTAAAACACTAATTTTAAGTCCTTAAGTAATACGAAACCAACATGCGAAGACTTGGAAAAATACTATAACAGAAGATATTTTGACCTAGAAAATCGTAATGATTATAATATATAACTTTTTTTTGTGAACGCATGGTATAACTTTTTTTAAACAGATGTTTTTTCTTTAAAAAAAAGATTTTTTTAACAAAAACTTGGATAAAAACAGCATGCAAAGTTAAAAAAAGGTATAGAACCTGTAACAACGTCAAGTTCGTGGACATTGCTAATTTGTGGACCATGGTTAAAAGCTTGGCCGCTAATTCCAGCATTTGACAAAGTCCCTCCAACGGAAAGGTACAAATAATCGGTCCATGATTTTGGTGCCAATCCATACTCTAAGGTACTCCTCAATACATCTATCCAAAGCTCCCCGCCCCACACGTCGACGTACATGTCTCCAGCCCGAACCCTCGGCCGAGGTCCAACCCCATTCCCACTCATCTGAACAACGACCCCGTTCGGGTTCTGAGCCTGCCCGTTTATCGAATGCCCGTGTCCCCTAGCCGACACCGTGAACCCCTGGTCCGACCCGTAGGCTGCTTTGACCAGGCGAGCCACGTCCAGAGCGGAAGATGGATGCAAGACCGCGAGCGGCTTGACTCGGGTCAGCAACCCAAAGTCTTTAGAAGCCGAATCAACGTCGGCGGGGTCAACGCTGAGTTGACAGTCGAAACCCAGGTGGAGGATTTCTTTGGGTTTGAGGGTCAATCCCACAGTGACAATCAATCTACAAATAGCAAAGGCTAAAAGAAGCTTAGTTGCCATGGCAAAGAACAATGCTTCTTGTTTCTGCCCCAAGAATTGTTGTTTTTTTCTTTTCCTTTGAATATATAGAGAGAGTGGAAAGGAAAAACAAAGGTGGTGATTAAAAAGGGAGTATAATATGGGAGGAAAACAATGAAAAGAAGGAACAAAATCTTTGGTGGCAGCGTTAATGTAAGCTGAGGATAACACTTTAAAGATTTAGTTTCAGCTATCAATACAACATGCACAGATTCCTCTACTACTTTTCCTTTTCTTTTTTTCTTTCTTTCTTTCTTTCTGGTGTCGAGTATATGAGATACAGGTTCGAAATTTATAGGCAAAAGGGTGGAAGAGTCTTGTGCCCATTTGGAAAGACACGTGGCTATCACGTGCGAGGAGGGGGAGACACGTGTGGTTAAAGACACTGAAACCCTCCCATTACATACGGCCTCTTGGAAGGGAAGGCAATGGATGTGGGTCCAGTTTGGATACGGAGGATCTACGTGGGGTCCCTGGCTGCGGATGGTTCACGTGGGTGCTGCTGCTCTGCCCTAGTTACCTCCTCCTCTTTGGGATTTATTTAAGTCAAATTTAAATTAACTCCGTATTATTGGAATTAATTTGGGCCACTAGTAAATACTGTACTTTTGGAAGAAAATAAATTTCAAATGGACCATTCTTGATTCAAAATATTCTAACAAACAGACATCTAAAATATTCATCCAAACCTCAAACTAATTAATCCTGGTAGTCTAATTAAGCTCATCATAAAGATTGATATACCCAAATTTCCATGCAATCTACGTTGTTGTTGGTGCTGTTGCATTTGTGCAGGTGCAGCGAATATGGGGTGAGTTGATCAAAAGATTTGGAAGAGAGAAATGCCTCAAAATTCACGACGAAAGTTACCCTTTTTCCCCCATGGATTATACTACAACTTCTTTTGCATGGAGGAAACATGTGGGGATTACAATGTCCCCTAGAATACAATTAAGTCGTTTGACGTAACCTGTTTACCTCGATTGCTATCGTGCCTTTTTTTATATTCTAGTGTCAGTGTGAACTGTTGAACTCGAAAGTCGAGATGAAGGGTTCTTTTCTTGGATGATTCGTTGCGATTTCCGATTGGGCTTCCAACGTTTTGGATTTCAACCAATTTTCCCTAGATTGCTATCGTGTTGTTTGGTCAAATCAATGTTTTAAATTAGTGTGGGGGAAAATATTACTATATATTATTTTTACCTATTGGTTGGTTTTGGATTTAAGCCAAATTAATGTTTTGAAATTTCTAAATCATTTTGGACCCGACGTCATTTCGACTTAAATTTGTCTTCCCGTCTTCATTTCACCCGGTAACACGACTTAAATTTCCAGCTTTCCATGCCTACGCTTACGGGATTTATATTTGTTTTTAACATCTTTTCACACTTTGGCTTAACCAAAAATCCATCACACAATCATTATGATGAGAAGAAAATTTCTTTGTTGTTTTTCACTTCACATGAATGAATTGATGTTTCACAGTGATTCATGTCTAGGCAAGCAGATAGCATGACCCATGTTCCTTATCCTTGCTCCAAACCCAACTGTATTCATTTTGTGCCTTTTTCATGCCATCAGCGACACTCTCCAAGCAAAAAGATTTTTATGCGGACAAGTTGCATGTCTTTTAACGTATTAGACATTTTCAACATCAAATTATTTTTTTAATTTTTGTATGACTCATGCAAGTTCCAAATCTAATTGAATGTAGGGATTTTACAAATTGATTTGTTTGTTTAGCCCTAGTAGCTATGGTATTATTACCCTTCGGTGTAGGCATATGAAATTTGAATAAAAAGTAAAAGTGAGGGTTCAAAGTTCAAAATCCAAAATCTTTAATTCATTTAGGAAGGAAGATTCTATTGGTGTAAATGGCATGTACTGTTAAGGACAAAAAAGGGTTGTTGTCAAGCTCTTTTTATCTAGTGGGCAGCAGCCTCAATTCCATATTTTGTTTTCCTTAAAAGAGGATACTGTAGCTACGCCACACATCTCGATGTTGCTCTCCCATCCTTCCTTGTATGCACAAAAATGATACTCCCCTCATACCATATCCCCCCCCCCCATTTTAATTTTTAACCCTTTGAGGCAAATCAATAAAATAAACCAACCTCTGAGTTTCCAAGTCTGCAATAAATGCACCATCTTTTTACACAAAAACCACTTTAAGTCATCCCCATAATTTTCTTTTTTTTATTGATTTGTGTTTCTTATTTTATTAGTGAAAGCACCAAACTTAAAAATATTTTATATTAGTTACAGGGGCATGCCAAAGTTCATTTACCAAACCATGAAAAAGTCATCCCAAAATGAGATTAGACCTAACAACCAATGACACGTTCATATTTGATGTAACAAGTTGAGTTCCTCAGGAGTGATTCATCTTTTCTTAATTAAACAGAGAATCATAGTCAATAAAAGAACAATCATTGATTAGTGTCTAGACAAATAGATAAAATATATCATGATGAAGAGTAGGGATGGAGCCAGGATTCTAACTTAAGGGAGCAAAATATAATTAATCATAGAAAATGAGGACAAAGTATAACTAATCATAGAAAATTGGGGAGCGAAATCAAAATAAACTAAAATGTAGAGCCCTAACTTAACATTTTCCTATTTAGTTTTTAATGATAAAAAAATTGGGGGCAGTGCCCCGAGAATAAGGTGGCTCCGTCCCAGAGAAGGAGGATAATTGAGGACAACCATCGACCAATGCATTTGCACAAGAGAAAGTGAGCCATGAAAAATGAGGAACACAATATGAGGATGTTAAATGTTCCAACCCATTTTTCAATTTTGATTGGGAGTATTTATAGTATCTCTTAGTGCGTGTGACAGTCCAAGAATTATCATAGCTATTCGTAGGTCGATAAGCTAATTAGATCTGATAGTCAAACTTTAGATTTTGTTATGGTGCATCATGTTGATTTGTTTGAGGGATTGTCTATCTAAAGTGTTGTATATAAGCTGCAGTTGACTAGAAACTTGTATTCACATAATGTAGGTTAATCGGAGGCTTTGGGGTTTTTTTAGACCATCTCTCCACAATTATAGCAATATTCCTCGTAATTAAATCAATGTCGAGCTAGATTAGATCAATTAATTTGATTTTTTTAAAACCACTTTAATTAAAAATTAATTTTAATTTTAAATTATTTAAGTACGAATAAATTGATCGTGTATTAATTTCTAAACCAATTTGTGATAACTCCCAAAAACTTTTGTTATATTTTATCAGCCTCTGCTCTCCGTTATGGAGATATTGATAAATCGAGTAAGAAACCATCAACTTGTGGGTAGCTAACATTAATATATAAAAGTGGTTATGCATCGCTAAAACTCAACGTTTCATTAATTCCTTTCAAGTAGTATTAATATTAATGACATCTTATTATATATATGTTGTTGTCATTTTATGATCACAATAAATTATTTATATATGTGGTTGGCCTTAGATTTTACGACCGTTTTTGCCTTGGATTTTATTGGTTTCATGTGTGTGAATAAGGGCTCTCTTCTTCAAACAAAATTAATTATTTCGGCATAAACAACACAATTAATTATTTGTGTCAGTTTTGTAGGTACAAACTGCTGGAGGAATACTTGGTGTTTTGAGAATGTTATGCCACTAATTTCTTATTTTTATATTTATGGGTATTTCAATTTATGTTTTTAACAAATATCAAAATTATGTACGAATTTTAATTTTTTATGATTATATACATTATTGTACTTTTAATAAAATATTTTAAATTAATGTCTACTACTATATTTTTTATAATTTATTTTTATACACAGTCAAATCAACATTTTTTTAATGTTTATACTATAATATCATTTATTACAAATTTAATTTTTATATGATATAAATAATTGGTATATAAAAATAATATAATATATCATAAATTTATTTTAAAAAAACGAGTTGTGCTGAACTCGTATTTTAAATGACGGAGTGCAAGTTTACATTTTAAATATTTTTATTCGAGTTTTTTTTTCAAATTTCGGGTGAAATTTCGAGTTTGGACGTGTAAATCGACCCTCAATTATGTTGCAAACTCAATCAATAGTCAACATTAAAACAAATTTATATTTTGAATATACAATTAAATCAGAATAAAAACTATGTGTCTATAAATTAAAATGAATTAGAATTCATGTATTATATTATATAGTTAATGAATATGTTTAATAAAAAAATATGTTATTGTTTCTAGATGTCACAGATTCGAGCACCAACAACTGCAACAAGATGATTGAGTATTTATTGTAAAACGATTAAATATAAAATATATATATTATTTTATAATCACCTTAAATTAATAATTTTTTTATTTTATTTTTTTATCCTTTTCTGTGTTGGGCTCAACCAACATTGTCTAATATTATAATTGCAGTATGCCAAAATCATTTGGAATTTCTGCATGAAATGGCCCACCAATGAACTGGAAAGGAGTATTTAGGGGGATTCTTGCTGCTGGCTTGCACCGTTCAGTAAACTGTAATTTTTTTAGTTCTGCAACTGCTAGCAGCCAACACACGTGCAATTAATGTATTTCTGTGATTTTTCTTTGTAATTATGTTTCATTTTTCTTTGGTTGGTGACCATTCAAATAAAGGAAGAATCCATTTTTTTTGGCGACGAAAGCATGAACATAATTATCATGCCATTCTATGTAATGATGCCGACCGGGAAAAAATGTTTATATATTTAATAAAACGAATCTATCAAGTGTACATAAATCCATAGCCATCTATTTGGTGTCTCCCTCTTCACGTTACTTCCATTTATTTATTATTTCTAGATTTCGGATTCTCTCTTAGTATCCCCATTTTAATTTGATTAATTTTAATAAACGTTGGTTATGGGATTAGAAAAAAAATAAAGAACCATTTGCCATAATAAACACGTCTCACCCAACAATTAATAATGATGATTAAGGCAGAGGTTAGGGCAATTCCCATTAAGGCATATATACCGCAATTTTGTCTCATTGTCGGTTTCTTTTTCTTGTTTACACACTGCATACGATTCCCCCTTTAATTTCATCATTTATTTATATTACAAGCAAATGCATATGTGACATCGAAAAGTGAATGGAAATTACTAGAAGAGAAAGTTATCTTTGTATGTCCCATGGTTTTTTTTAGGGCGAAATGCAGTGGGCGATGAATACAATGGACCTACACAAGTGTGACTTTGCAGACAAATCAACTTTTTTTCTGTTTTTATG